ATATATATATATATATATATAATTTCAAATATATAATTAAATCTGATGTTTGACGTAATTACTTTAGATTTACTTCATAATGATATAAATAGATGGCGCTAAAGTGTCTAAAATTTTAGTATATGTTTTTATTCGGTTTACAAGTTTTTGCTCAATGAATAGCAATCAATAAATGAATTATTTTTTTCTGAAAAATAACGCAGTAATCAGTGAATTTTGCGCAGTAAAACAAAAATTATTAATTAGATTGTAAATCCATTTTTTTAAGAGTTTGTTCCTTCAAAAATTGTACCTATGAAATTTTTATCATAAGATAACTGAATCTAAAATGAATTCTTATTAAATATTAAAAAAGATAACTAATTATATCGATAATTCCTAATTTATTATATCATGAATTCATTTATTAAAAATATATATAAAAACTGAAGTATGTCGTAACAAAATAGGTGACGAAAAACTTGAAAAATGGACAAGCGTGTGAATATATGTATTAGGGGGAAAAAAAGAAAGAAAGCGAAGTAAAATGTATTTTCACCGTTTCTAACATGCATAAAGATAATTATGCCAAATTGAAATTATTAAAATTGACATTAGAGTTAGCAAATATTATTAAAGTTTATGAAGAAAAAAAAAACATTATCAGAATTAGTGGAATTATCACGAATTCTCAGAACTGGCGAGAAATTGCAATAATTTATAACTATTAGGTCAAGTTTAGCCTTTCTTTAGCCGGTTCCCTCTATGTTTGTTCAGAAAATGGAGCAAAACGTCACTATGAAGAAAGGCCACAGTTTCTAGAAATTTAAAAGCGTTTGTGGTAAAAAAAAAAAAATTATATTATTATTTACTTATTTTTTAAAAAATTTAAAAGCATTTGTGGTAAAAAAAAAATTAATATTATTATTTACTTATTTTTTAATAAATCAAAAAATACATTTTTAATGTATATTAATTTAATTTCTCTAACGCAGCATTATCTGGACCCACAAAAATTTGCAATAAATTGGAATAAGGCATTGATTTTGGAAATTTTCATCTAGGAGCAAAAATGTCGCCATATTGACAATTTTTAAAATAGTTTATAACTTTAAAAATATTTTAGTTATTTGTTCGCTCCAAAACCCAGGGAATTCTATACAGCAAGAGTAGTAAGCGCCCCTCTTCGAGCGGCGGTAAAAATCTATTAATATTAAAAAAAAAAAAAAATATTAAACTTAAAAAAAAGAAAAAAATACAAATAAGCTAAGAAATATTTTTACCTCATCGTCAGACTCTCTCATTAACAAATCAGAGACTGCGAAGATCGTTATCGAAGATCGATTATATATATATAGATATATACATAATTAATTGGTATATAATATGTATTAAGTAAATTATAAACTTTATTTACTTACATTGCTTCCTGAAGAAGAAGAACTTTGACATCGTTGGCGTTTAGGCATTATTTTTCAAGAACTACGTACACGAACAAATAGAACACGAAATAAAATACTTCACACTACAAAATCACCACAGTGCAGGAAAAAGATATTCCACCTAACTCGATATTAAACTAGTTTTAAAATATTCTATTACTGTCATCTATGAAGAGCTCTCTCTTTCTATATATACAGTTGTTATCGACAAGATTCTTGATCATGTATATAGATAAGGTCTAACATTATTCTTACACCTCTGACTAACCAATCAAATTCAGATAAAGCTCAAACGATACAGAGATCTACCTGGTAGAATTTTGTGAGAAACACTTGTTCTCCCACGTTCTTTAATCAGTATTAAGTACTATGTTATATTCTACCGTAATTGATAAAACGTGAATAAAACCAAAACGTCCCGGACAGATATTATCTTTGAAAAATTTATGAGAAATGGTTATCGTTCCGTAATCAGTATCCTTTAATACTTTTCAAATGAACTCTTAATTTGAAAATAAAGTAAGTTATTTACATTATTATAATATCATATAATAAAATGAAGTATTTATAGCGGCAAAAATTCCCATTATGTGTTTCTTGTATTTAAAATAATTCACACATTTGAAACTTTAAAGTAAATTAATCTATAATTGATGGCATAATGTAAATATGTACCTATTCATTTTCTATCAAAAAATAAAATTAATTCAAATATTTTTTTTCATAAGATTTAAATTATAAATACATTTATATTTTATTATAATAATTAATTTATTATATTTGATCGAGTTTAAAAGAGGAGGAATAAATCTATTAAAAAATTTAAAAATTATAATTGGATATATACTATAGATATATTATTATTTATTCTCTTTTTTTTAAATTAGAAAAATAATTTTTTTCATTAACAAAAATTAACTTATAATTCTTAAATATCTTTATTAATGTGTGTTAGAGCTCATGTAAAATACCGAAAACTGAACATTAGGTGTAACTAAATTTATTTAAATCATTAATTAATTAATAACGAAAAAAAGGACGCATTAAATTAATTAAATCATAGATTTAATTAATTATTTATTAGATTTATTTAATTAATTATTAGTGTCCTTCATTACAACAGATTATGTCATACTATACGAATAATGAAACTAATATGTGTTTTCAACCGCAAAAGGTAAAACAAAATTAATCAGTAGGTAATTAAAATCAAAATAATGAGAAAAAAAACGAAACTATAACATTTTGCCTCTAAAAAATACATTACGACTTCCGGTGGGGGCAGAAATAAGCAACTTTTTATTTTCCATGATGACGTCACTTCCGCCACACGAAGAGGGGATATGCAGTTTAAAATAATAACTTTACTTCAAGAATAAATTAGTTTAAAATAATAACTTTACACTTAAACTGTGGCTTTTTTGTTTTCCTTGGTGAAATAGTTTCGAAAAATCTTGTTAAGACGGTATTAAAAACAGTTTAATTGTCAGATGATAAAAAATACTTGTATCCTGAGCAAACTTATTTTTTTAAATATAGACATTAAACTATTTTTTAACATGTAACTAGACATTTTTATATATCGACATTGGGAATTGATACCTGAAAACTGCCAGACGACCGTATCCGGATAAAAGAGATTGTACGAAGCGCTCTTTAGCTCCATTTGATAAACAAACTGCTTTTTATTTTGATCACCCAGATAAAAAATTTTAATTTATTTCCATGAAATGATTTTAAGGAAGTTATTGTTTATCTCCTAAATATTAATTTACAATCTTTTATGTTATTAATTGTATCTATTTTCATTTCAACAGATTTTATAAACTTTGATGGTAAACATTATAAGTATATAAATTAAAAAATGGAGCATTGTTAGGTAGAATTATATCAAATGTTTCTGACGAATTTAAATAAATATTATTTAACTTGAGCTATAGAATTTTGCGATATCCAAATCTAAACAAATCAATATCTAGGAAGGCGGGACTGAAGACATAAAAACCGTTTTGCTGAGAAAAGATCAGAGAAGTTTAAAAGCAATCATTAGAAATGAGTCCAAGTTTCATCAGGCAATCAAACTGGCTCCGATGTTTTATATCCCACCTTAGTGATACGACAATTTTCGATAGGGTTTTTATCATCCTTGCTTAAGCTTGCATTTCAACCCCTAAAAGTGAGTGATTCTCACTAAATACGACAATTCACTGTCTCAGAAATCTAACATCATACAAAAAAACTGAGGAATTTTTTTAAAACTCTAATTAATACCATTATTGTTAGCTTTTTAGACTGATTTCAAACTGATTTTAACAATTATATATATTTAAAAATGTATGTTGAGTTTCAAAATGTTTTTTTCCTGGCATGTCGTTAACGATATTTTACTAATTACTTGCTTTAAAACTGTATATAAATTTTTCTCTGTCTAATTTTTTACTTTTAAACTGTTGAAAGCAATTTTGGAGTCTGTGCACAAGAAATGATTTCCAAAATATTTTGTTAAATAAATTTTTCAGTCATTAATTTGTAATTCACGCGAAAATCAATCATTTTTCTGGCCACTTTTATTTTTATTTCTCTATAGCCAACAGAAATGACGCTAGCGTTAATTATTTTTGCTTAAATGCACGATTGGTTAGTAATTTTCTTTAAAATGAATCTTACAGCAGGAACAGAAAAGACAGATTCAGAGAAAATTCAATTTATAGAGATTTTAAAAAGTAACCAGCTTTTTATGTCATGTCGTCATTTTCCTGCCTTCTCTAAATCATTAATAATAATACTTGATAATAATAAATAAAGAAAAATAATAAATAAAGGAAAATAATAAATAAAGGCAAGTGATAAATAATAATAAATCAATAATAATTAATAATAAAAAATAAAGGAAAATGAAAGTAAAGCATGAAACTTGTAAAGTAATTTTATAAAAAAATTAAATATTAATATAAAAACTTAATATTAAAATTTAAATTTTAATATTAAAACTTAAATCGAAAACAACTTTTGTAAATGTAAATAGAAAAACTATATCAGCCAAGTTTAGTTTAATAATTGCTAATAATAAGTTTTAGGACACATTTTTTTTTTAATGAAAGAAGAAAAAAACTGCCATATTAATTGTAGTGGTTGTCCATTGCCTCTCATTTCTTCTTATTTCCATCCGCTTTACAAAATAACTAGAAAATTTTCGAAATTTTATTCTATTGCGGCAAATGACATTGCTTATTTTATCAAACGATATTATTTTCGCAATGAACGATATTTCCAATGGCTAAACGATAAATTACATTATCTAATGGTCGGTAAAATAAATAAATAAAAATATGTAAATAAATAAATAAGAAATAAAATAAAAGTTAAATGCAAAACTCAATGAAGCATTTTCTCGAAATTTAATAAGCATTTTAAGCATTAACAATAAAATTTAAACAGCAAAATAACTTTTTGAAATTTAAATAGCAAATTTATGCATTAATTTTATTTTATTTTTCTCTTCTTTTTTTTCTAAAGAAAAATAACTGCCTAAGAATTGTAGTTGTTTCTTGTTTCATAACGTGTTTTTTTCATCCACCTAAATGACTAAATAATTAGACAGTTTCTCAGATTTTATTCTATTGCAGCAAACGACATTTCTTATCTTATCAAACGATATTTTTCCAGCAGACGATATCTCCAATGGCGAGAGGATTAATTACTTTACCCAATGCTCGCTCTCGTTCGGCGACAAAAGCGCGCCCCACCCACACTGCCGTCCAATATTGGATGGTGACTTTCTTCCCTTCTACCGACTCCTCCTCCTACGCTCATCTTCCTCTACTCACACCCACACTATGACTCTGGAGACGGGAGTTCCACATTTGGCTACTATTTACAGCGCTCAACCTCACTCTTGGAGTCTGTAAACTTTTGTTTTATTTTTTTAAAAATAACAATTGAGTCATAGACAGTCTATTAATATACGTTGACGACGTACTTATACGAATCATTTACTGAACCAAAAATAACAGATGTGTTAAAGCCTTGTTGCTAGAAAAATAATTAATTTTATTATTACTGTTATTTATTTTCTAACATTGTAAATAAGTATCTGGAGCAAGCAAAGAGAAAGACAAATAAATAAATAAATGAATAAAATACGTAAATAAATAAAACAAATAAATAATAAAAAAAAACATAAAATTACTTTTGCATCAAATTTTGTCAAGTGTCATAGACTTCTATATCACAGCGTGATATAAGCAAGCCTCTTCTATTTAAAGAATAAAAGATTAAATAAATGAAATAAGTAACAACATAAATAAATTAAAACATAAAAAAATAAAAACTTACGTAAATAAATAATAACATAAGGAAATATAAGAATAAATTAAGCCAAATATCGCGTTATTTATTATATTTCTTAGCGAACAAGTATAGGGAAAAAACAAGCAAATAAATAAATAACTTCTCAATCAAATATCATGTTTTTTTCCTTCTTTACACCAACAACAACCTCAGCGAAGGACCCCTCACCTTGCCTCACAAGAATAAAGTGTTCGTGGTAGTAGTTTTAATTTATAACAAATGCTAAACAAGTATCAATAGTTTATATAAATAAATAAATAAAAAAAATTATTGGGAGAAATTACATTTGTTTTATGGACATTTATTTCACAGTTTGGTAAACGAGTATTCAGAATTAAAATAAATAAATAATTACTGGATAAAAATATGTCAAATATCTTAAAATTTATTTTTCAGGATAGGAGCTAGTATCTGGATTTTAAGAAGGGAAATCATTTTTGAATAATTTTAATGCAATAAATAAATAAATAAGTAAATAAAAAAACTCATTATTACTGTTTTAAATTTCACAAAATGCCACCAACATTTATTTCATAGAGTGGTGAACAAATATTTGGAATTTAAGGAAAGAAAAAACAAGTAAATAATAAAAATAAAATATTATTCTATGTAATTATTATATGAAATATAATTTTAGATTGTGGTAAAAAAGTATCTAGTATGAAGGAATGAAAGGGGGGGGGGATAAAAAACCAAATAAATTATTAAGTAAAACACTTAAAAGAAATAAATTAAAAACGAAAATATATTCTTTGGCAAAATTGCATAAGAATTTTTAATCCTTTCAAAAAATAAAATAAATAATACTTATTGTGTTTAAATTAATAAAAATTTTGCTTTGTATCAAAATTTATTAAACAATAAAGGATTTATTGTGCTTTCTAATTTTTTACGATTACAATCAAGCTCAAGTAACGAATGGTTTAACAT